GTAGAACTGGTGGTGTAGGGAGCCAGCGCAACCAAACACTCAGGCCCGCTGAACCAACGGTGCAATATGTTTTCTGGCGTTTTGTGACCTGTTGGCAATGGAAGACTACCAAGCAGGCTATTAGATGCCACAAATGGACATTGCGGACAGACCTGTGTTGGTATAGCAAAGGGACAAGTGCATGCAAAACTACGATGCTGAGTTCTGTAGACTTCCAAGGGCTCATCATCTACGACGGGGAATGTACAAAAGAGTCCGAGCTTGCATAGAAAGATGAAAAGCTCCCAGAAACGCCATGGTGCCTACAGCATGGAGACCACCTCAAAACACTTCGCCAAACCCTTCCTTCAGTCAAAAAAGCACCCCCCAAAACACCGGGTGCCTCCCATCAACCGAGGGAACACCAACCCCCGGGTATCCTGTCATACCCTGTCATACCCTGTGCGATTCCAGCCTTGTGCGCACCGTCCGCACGGAGAAGGTTCAACTTCGACTCTAAGACGGAGATCTCCTGACCGATCGAGACCGGTCCTGGTTCTAAGGCGTGGGGAGGGGAAGGTTTGAGTGGCGCTCCGTCCTCAGGTTCTAAAGCTCTGATTTCATTCCACCCACAGTCTTGGACTCCGACAGCTGCATGAATTCCCCCCCGTTTTTTCGTCGCAACGACGCCCCCCACTTCCGGGTTGGGAGGTCCCCAACTTCCACTTCCATCTTCTGAGTGGACTGGTTGATGGTGGACTGCAGATTGGCTCTCTCTCGCCAGACTCTGTCGGTCCAAGGAAGAGAGAACACGAACCCCCCCGTGCCGCGCCGTGCCCACGCGCCGGTGCCGTGGCTTTTTCAACAACAGGCGGCGAAGGTATACACCTGGCAGAGGGGGGGAACTGGAGGCTGCAGTCGTTTCTGTTTTGTGAAAAGAATCAACATTGTTACTACTAGACTAGTAACAAGTGCCACACTAGTAGTAACAGGTGCCTTACTAGTAGTAACAAGAAGCTACTAGGAACAAGTGCCTTAC